GTGCTCCCCTTATATTGGTGGTCAGTGGTGTAGTGCGCCCCCTATATTGGTGGTCAGTGGTGTAGTGCGCCCCCCTATATTGGTGGTCAGTGGTGTAGTGCTCCCCTTATATTGGTGGTCAGTGGTGTAGTGCTCCCCCTATATTGGTGGTCAGTGGTGTAGTGCTCCCTTTATATTGGTGGTCAGTGGTGTAGTGCTCCCCCTTATATTGGTGGTCAGTGGTGTAGTGCGCCCCCTATATTGGTGGTCAGTGGTGTAGTGCTCCCTTATATTGGTGGTCAGTGGTGTAGTGCGCTCCCCCTATATTGGTGGTCAGTGGTGTAGTGCGCCCCCTATATTGGTGGTCAGTGGTGTAGTGCTCTCCTTATATTGGTGGTCAGTGGTGTAGTGCTCCCCTTATATTGGTGGTCAGTGGTGTAGTGCGCCCCCTATATTGGTGGTCAGTGGTGTAGTGCTCCCTTTATATTGGTGGTCAGTGGTGTAGTGCGCCCTTTATATTGGTGGTCAGTGGTGTAGTGCTCCCCCTATATTGGTGGTCAGTGGTGTAGTGCGCCCCCTATATTGGTGGTCAGTGGTATAGTGCTCCCCTTACAGGCTGTACCCGATACGCCTCTTTTTGGGAGTTTTGCTGTTACTTTCACATTACTAGCACTAGTCAGACGTAGTTTGTGGAAATCGGTTTTATAATAAATACGTGGTTTCAGGGTTTTCCTTTACTTCCAATCACTGACATCACCCACAAACGTGTCCCGAGTACGCAGAGCTCCTCTAATCAACGATCAAAGCTTGTCTTCCATATTGTCTCACTTCCCAGACTGGCGCGCTTTCATCTTGTAAACCTTCAGTGTTATGTCTCCTCCCAGAATCCTGATATTACGAGGGGTCTTCAAAGAGGGTCCACACTTCTATCCATACAGGATACACATTGTAACGGGGGGGGGGGGTGTGACCCCCTGGATGGGTGCACAACAAAAAACACAGGCACAGCACAACAACAGTGGAGGTGACAGAAACAAAAAGGTGCCGTTTATTTACAATATTTACAGGAAAACGTCAAACCAAAAAGAAACATCAAATCAAACCCTGGCCAACTTGGCTACTTACTGTACACATGGCTTCCCTAGCTATCCGCCAGGTACAGCCTGATACTATGGCTAGTCCCTGGTAGTTGGAGGCCGGCCACACAGGCTCTTGTCTCCCTTTACACCAGGGGTGTCCAAACTTTTTTGGAAGAGTGCCAGATTTGATGAAGTGAACATGTGCGAGGGCCGACCATTTTGCCCGACATTCTGATGAACCATTAACATTAAATGCAAATGAACTATTTTATGCAAAAGTTTATTGAAAACGGCATACTTTTCATTTTGTGACTTGGATGACAAATCTAAACAGGTGTTAAATCACTCTGCCAGCACAGGGAGAAGGAAAGCCCAAATCTCGCGAGATCTCGGAGGTCGCGAGATTTGGGCTTTGTTTCTCCTTGCACTGTCTGATGACATCAAGCGATCCTGAGCACCAATCCATTATAGCCCAAATTGATACCGTATTTTTCGCTCCATAAGACGCACCTGACCATAAGACGCACCTAGGTTTTAGAGGCGAAAAACAGGAAAAAAAATTCTGAACCAATGGACTGCAGACATAGTACAGGAGATGACCAGAGGACTGCGGACACAGTACATGAGATGACCAGAGACTGCGGACATAGTACAGGAGATGGCCAGAGACTGCGGACACAGTACAGGAGATGGCCAGAGACTGCGGACACAGTACAGGAGATGACCAGAGACTGCGGACATAGTACAGGAGATGACCAGAGACTGCGGACACAGTACATGAGATGGCCAGAGACTGCGGACACAGTACAGGAGATGGCCAGAGACTGCGGACCACAGTACAGGATGACCAGGAGACTGCGGACACAGTACAGGAGATGACCAGAGACTGCGGACACAGTACAGGGGATGACCAGAGACTGCAGACATAGTACAGGAGATGACCAGAGACTGCGGACCACAGTACAGGAGATGACCAGAGACTGCGGACACAGTACAGGGGATGACCAGAGTCTGCGGACACAGTACAGGAGATGACCAGAGACTGCGGACACAGTACAGGAGATGACCAGAGACTGCGGACATAGTACAGGGGGATGACCAGAGTCTGCGGACACAGTACAGGAGATGACCAGAGACTGCGGACATAGTACAGGAGATGACCAGAGACTGCGGACATAGTACAGGGGATGACCAGAGTCTGCGGACACAGTACAGGAGATGACCAGAGACTGCAGACATAGTACAAGGGATGACCAGAGACTGCGGACACAGTACAGGAGATGACCAGAGTCTGCGGACACAGTACAGGAGATGACCAGAGACTGCGGACAGAGTACAGGAGATGACCAGAGACTGCGGACATAGTACAAGGGATGACCAGGAGTCTGCGGACACAGTAACAGGGGATGACCAGAGACTGCGGACATAGTACAGGAGATGACCAGAGACTGCGGACATAGTACAGGAGATGACCAGAGACTGCGGACATAGTACAGGAGATGACCAGAGACTGCGGACAGTACAGGAGATGACCAGAGACTGCAGACATAGTAAATAATGGTAAATGGTAGCCCCAGTAGTAATTCCCTGCGCACCACCTGGGATCACTCGGCCCACGTTCCGGACCCCACAGATGAGCTGCCCAATATATAACTTACGGCCCTCCACTAGTGATTCTGCGAACGCCACTGAGGACTCCAGGGATCTGTCGAGCGGGAATTGACGTCATCAGCCGGCACACAGAGAAGGAAAGCAGAATCTCACGAGATCTCGGACGTCGCGAGATTTGGGCTCTCCTTCCTGCACCAGCTGATGATGTCAAGAGATCGCTGGAGTCCTCAGTAGCTTTTCAGGGAATCACTACCGGGGGCCGTAAGTTATGTATTTGGGTAGCTCACCTGTGGGGCCGTTTCAGTCCGGAACGCGGGCCGCAATTGGCCCGCGGGCCGGACTTTGGACATGCCTGCTTTACACAGATAATATGTTGCTCCCCAGTCAGTTCAGGCACGGATCTGGTTCCAGGTTGGAGCTACTCCCTAAGCAGGCTGGGAAGTTTTATCAAGGCCTTAATGAGCCGACTACCTTCAGCTGGGCTCATTACCTCAGTGCTGAAGGGCCTCTAGTGGAACAAATCCCCATAGAGTCTGAACCTTGGACAAATGTATCGTCCATCCAGGACACAACCAGGTGATCTCACCGGCCTACTGTCACAACATGTTAAAAAAAAGTGTGGGAACTTTTCGAAGAACCCTCGTACGTGTTCTTCTCTGTGTCTGGGGTATCATGGGGACAGGAGGAAAGTGGCAAAAAAAAAGAGGCAGCAGCTTCGCCTCCCCCAATTCCCATTCCCAGTAGTTCTGATGATAAGTGAGGCTCCGGACCCTGTCATGGTGCACTGCTCTCTACTGTCCCTCATCTTGAAACCAAATCCCTTTGTCCCTCTTTTTTCCTCAATTATCCCAGTTATGATGTGTTGAAAAAATGGACATCGTGGTTTGTTGTGGGGGCTGTGTAACCGCAGACTGGGCAAGGGTGTCCCATGCTGACCCGTGTCCACAGCCAAACGGAGCCAACAATGGGCACGTGAGCTTCAGAACTGGACCACGGAGCCATGGAAGAAGGTGTCCTGATCTGATGAATGACGTTTTCTTTTACATCACGTGGATGGCTGGGTGGGTGTGCATCACACTTACCTGGGGAAGAGATGGCACCTGGACGCAGGATGAGAAGAAGACAAGCCGGCGGATGCAGTGTGATGCTTTTAGCAATGTTCTGCTTGTACCACCTACCTAAGCATTGCTGGTGACCAAGTACACCCCTTCATAGAAATGGTATTCCCTGGTTGCAGGGCCTCTTTCAGCAGGATAATGCGCCCTGCAACACTGCAAGAATGGTTCAAGAATGGTTTGAGGAATACCACAACGTAATGAGGTTTTGACTTGTCCTTCAGATTCTCCAGGTCTGATGAATGACGTTTTCTTTTACATCACGTGGATGGTTGTGTGCGCACGTCACTTACCTGGGGAAGAGATGGCACCAGGATGAAGTATGGGAAGAAGGCAAGTATTGGTGGAGGTAGTGTGATGCTTTGGCCAACGTTCCTCTAGGGCACCTTGGCTTCTGTCACTCGTTTGTGGATGTTACTTGACACGTACCACCTATCTAAACATTGCTGGTGACCAAGTCCACCCCTTCATGGAAACAGTATTCCCTGATGGCAGTGGAATGCCACACTTCAAAAATGGTTCAGAATGGTTTAAGAAACACAATAAATTCAAGGAGTTGACTCGGCCATCGCTTTGGACGATGTTCTCCTGGGAAACCTTGGCTCCTGCCATTCGTGTGGCTGTTACTTGACACGTACCACCTACCTAAGCATTGCTGGTGACCAAGTCCACCCCGTCATAGAAATGGTTTTCCCTGGTGGCAGTGGTCTCTTTCAGCAGGATAATGTGTCCTGTCACAATGCAGGAAATGGTTTCAAGAATGGTTTGAGGAACACACAGCGAGAGATTGAGGTTTTGACTTGGCCTCCAGATTCTCTAGATCCCAATCCAATCAAGCCTCTGTGGGATGTGCTGGAAAGAACAAGACCCGTGCCCATGCTGACCCGTGTCCACAGCCAAAAGAGCCTACAATGGGCACATGAGCATCGGAACTGGACCACGGAGCAATGGAAAAAAGGTGGCTTGGTATGATGAATGACATTTTCTTTTACTTCATGTGGATGGTTGGGTGGGTCTGCGTCACTTACCTGGAGAAGAGATATATATATATATATATATATATATATATAAAATTTTTTTTTTTCAAGATCCCGAGAGAGCCGAGGAAGGTGGCAGTAGGGGGGGAGGGGGGGGGATGTCCTCTTCCACTGTTTGTGATATTGCTTAATATTGCTATTACAAGAGAGCCGAGCGCTGGATCTATAAGAATATACCAGAACACACCTGAATCACATGATATGGAGGGGATTGGAACTCCTGAATCACATGATATGGAGGGGATAGGAACACCTGAATCACATGATATGGAGGGATTGGAACTCCTGAATCCCATGATTGGGAGAGGATTGGAACTCCTGAATCACATGATTGTGAGGGGATTGGAGTACCTGAATCACATGATATGGAGGGGGATTGGAACACCTGAATCACATGATTGGGAGGGGATGGAGTACCTGAGTCACATGATTGGGAGGGGATTGGACAACACCTGAATCACATGATTCGGAGGGAATTGGAACACCTGAATCCCATGATTGGGAGGGGATTGGAGCACCTGAATCCCATGATTGGGAGGGGATTGGAACACCTGAATCACATGATTGGGAGGGGATTGGGAACACCGAATCCCATGATTGGGAGGGGATTGGAACACCCGAATCCATGATTGGGTAGGGAGAGGGATTGGAGGGAACACCCGAATCACATGATTGGGAGGGGATTGGGGATTGGGAGGGGAATGGAACACCCGAATCCCATGATTGGGAAGGGGATTGGAACACCCGAAAACCCATGGGAGGGGATTGCAACACCTGAATCCCATGATATGGAGGCGATTGGAACACCTGAATCACATGGTTGGGAGGGCGGGGACAATACTTTTGGTAATATACTGTGTGTGTGTATAATATATATACACACATATATGATAGATAGCCTATAATCTCATGACTTTCGCTGTCGAAGTTCCTGGTGCAATCTACTCGCTAAAAACTTCCTACCATCGATCATAGATCATTCCGGACAATTAGCTGGAAAAGACGGAATCAATTCGCTCTCCTGTTGTCCGCCATTCCCGGGTTATTTTATGGTGATGGATTGTCTGCACATGGGAAGTGAACCCGCTAGGACCAGCGCCATTACCGCTGAGACAGACAAGTCGGAGCAGAGCATAGCGCCCCACCGCCGTCCACAACAACTAGACTCTTCTTTGCTTCCACTTTCCTCGTTGTCGGTCGGCCGGGTAATAAAAATATTCTCTGTTTTGAAAAGGACTAAATGGGACAGCAAAGCATGGATGATCTCGCTAAAATATGAGCGAGGAGGATGGGTTGCCATGGAAACCGCGGCTTAAGACTTCCTGGGGCGGCCTTAAAGAAGCCCAATTTTTAACCGAGTGCTATAAACGAGGTTAGACAGCAAAACAGAAAAGGGGAAAAAATTGAATAAATGAAGCCGCGTTCTTACAGTGCCCTAGAAAACTTACTTCCATTTATCCGTTTTTTGTTTTTTTTTTAAAACCATCGTTACCACCGCCGGCCTCCCAGGAAAAAAAGAAAAAACCAACAAGAGATCGTGGGACCCGAAATTCTTCTATTTCCATTTTTTTTGTTCTCCGTCGCTGCGATGGAGGTGCGTCGGAGGAGACAAGACTTTGATGTACCTTGCTCCTCAGAGCTCCTTCTTCTGCTTTTGCTGACTGCGGAGTGTAGGGAAAACTTTTAGAGAAAAAAAAAAAAAAAAGGAAAGCGTCGCCGTGCCTCCGCATAGATTACGATGGTTGGCTGACAATGTTACTGAAGCAGCACTTTCTAATCAACTGAAAATATTGCTATTCCCATTAAAACAATTGGAATGTGAAATGCAGAACATAGAATGGTCGCGTCAGCAGACGCTCAGCTATTATTAGACGTCTCCCTAAAAATGGCACAACGCTTTTTTTACTTCTTTTTTTTTTTTAGGAGGGGTGGGGCGATCATTACTGCTATTTTTGACATCTCTATTCTTCCCATTTATTCTATTTCATTGGATAACGTACAGTCCTGCGTTGTCTCTTCTGTCTGTTGCAGATTCTGTAAATCACTGATTGGATTTCTTCACCCCTTAAAAGGGATCTTCGCCCCCAAAAAACAAATTCTTTCACATCTGTGCGGGTGGTGCCAAGAAATTCCACCACCCGCACGGAGGAATGTGGACCCGCGGGCCGGTGCCGTTAGTTCTAATGGCACGCCGCCCGCACTGGAAAACGCAACCGTACTGGGAACCGAGGTTGCGTTTTTGGAAGAAGTGCCGGGACTTCTTCCCTGCGTGTCCTGGAGTCAAATGAATGGGCTCTCGTGCCCGCGCAAAACTCGGCCCCGCACGGCCGCATAGGTGTGAACCGGGCTTAACCTGGCTCCATCCCCCTCCTACTTCCACAATTGTCACATACAGGGCTTAGGCAAAAATATGGAAACCCTCCATGATTGGCAGGAGTGAAAGTGACGCCGTGTTCAGCGGTGAAAGAGGAAGTGATGTAACAATCTTTTGCTTCTGCTGTGTGATGAGACACCTAGGTAACAGGTGGGAAGCCTCACTTTCCTCACTCACTACGTGCGCTGCTAGTGATACGGAGTCATGTTAGAGCTTACTGAGCTTCAAAGACGGCAAATAGTTGGTGCCACTTAGCTGGCGCCTTCCGCTGTGTGATGAGACACCTAGCTAACAGGTGGGAAGCCTCACTTTCCTCATTCACTGCTAGTAATACAGAGTCATGTCAGAGCTTACTGAGCTTCAAAGAGGGCAAATTGTTGGTGCCGCTTAGCTGGCACCTTCCGCTGTGTGATGAGACACCTAGCTAACAGGTGGGAAGCCTCACTTTCCTCACTCACTACGTGCGCCGCTAATAATACAGAGTCACGTCAGAGCTTACTGAGCTTCAAAGACGGCAAATTGTTGGTGCCACTTAGCTGGCGCCTTCCGCTGTGTGATGAGACACCTAGCTAACAGGTGGGGAAGCCTCACTTTCCTCATTCACTGCTAGTAATACAGAGTCATGTCAGAGCTTACTGAGCTTCAAAGAGGGCAAATTGTTGGTGCCGCTTAGCTGGCACCTTCCGCTGTGTGATGAGACACCTAGCTAACAGGTGGGAAGCCTCACTTTCCTCACTCACTACGTGCGCCGCTAATAATACAGAGTCACGTCAGAGCTTACTGAGCTTCAAAGACGGCAAATTGTTGGTGCCGCTTAGCTGGCGCCTTCCGCTGTGTGATGAGACACCTAGCTAACAGGTGAGAAGCCTCACTTTCCTCATTCACTGCTAGTAATACGGAGTCATGTCAGAGATGACTGAGCTTCAAAGAGGGCAAATTGTTGGTGCCGCTTAGCTGGCGCCTTCTGCTGCGTGATGAGACACCTAGCTAACAGGTGGGAAGCCTCACTTTCCTCATTTACTGCGAGACAAAAGGATATCACCCTGGATTGTAAACCTGGAATAAGGAAACAAACGCAAACGTGACTGCAGAGTTCAAACTCAGCCTCGTGAAGACTGAGATAGTGCGGTGGGCAATCTGACACTAACTGACGCTACTGGGGGAACTGACTAACTGCCACTGCCCACATGGAAGAAAAATATATATTTTAAAAATATTCTTCCCAAATATATTGACATATATTTGAAATGCTACAATTTTGGCTGTTTACTACCACGTTAACATCTAGGGGCAATCAAGGGGTTCATTGTGTGCGTAACAACGTGTAATGTGCTGCGTTTGTACTACAGATCGATTTGTTTCATTCGAAGAAACAAAGCAGTCGTTCCCTCTGTATAGAGCCCTGTGTTTTTGGTCAACACAGGGCTCTGGGTTGCGATTGGACACAGCCGATCAGCAGGTCCCGGTCACGAACCATTGGCTGGGATCTGCTGACAAACCCCAGCTGTGTCAAATCACAGGGGAGCTGGTGGGCAGGGGCTCGCATGCGCACCCCAAACACAGAAGACGCCAGTGGCATGCAGGTACGTTGCTGTGCCTGTAGTTGCTGCGCCGTCGCAGCATACGTTGGCAAGCATTTAAATTGCGCTTGCACGCCCGAAAGGGTCACCTATGAAAAATGTCAGGTGCGGTAGTTTGCTGCCATTTCATTGGCCCGTGCAGTTTGGAGTCTTGACATATTTGGCATCTATTTACTCAACGCAACATCATCTTTTATGTTATACCAAATAATTGGGTATTGTACTGTGCGTGCGCAAACATTCAGGGCCAGTTCACACCACAGAAACGCAGTCTAGGTGCTTTCCCGATGCATTGCCACATGCGCCTTTTTGATGCATTTTTTATGCTTTCTGGTTCATTTTTTCCCCTCTTTTTCTTCAATTTAAATAGGGACATGTGCGTTCCAGTGCGTTTTTGGTGCGTTTCGGTGCATTTTTAATGCATTTTACTGCGTTCCAGTACAGTTCTGTACAGGAAAAATTAAGCCTGCTCTACTTTTTTTCTCTGCAACCAGAAAGCACTGGAACTGCGAGCGCCGATGTGAACTATGACATTGCCGAATGTACAGGTGAAACTCCAAAATGAGAATCTGGTGCAAAAGTTCATTGATTTCAGTGCAGCAGCATAAAAGGTGACACTAATATATGAGACTCATTCCATGCAAAGCAAGATAGTTCCAGCCGTGATTTGTCATCATTGTGATGATTATGGCTTACAGCTCATGAAAACCCCAAATCCACAATCTCAGAAAATGAGAATATTCCATGCAATCAATAAAACACGGATTGTACATAGAACAATATCGCACCTCTGAAAAGTAGAAGCTGCATATGTACTCAGTACTTGGTTTGGGCCCCTTTTGCAGCAATTACTGCCTCAATGCGGCGTGGCATGGAAGCTATCAGCCTGTGGCACTGCTGAGGTGTTATGGAAGACCAGGATGCTTCAATAGCGGCCTTCAGCTCTTCTGCATTGTTCGGTCTCATGTCTCTCATCTTTCTCTTGGCAATGCCCCATAGATTCTCTATGGGGTTCAGGTCAGGCGAGTTTGCTGGCCAATCAAGCACAGTAATCCCACGGTCATTGAACCAGGTTTTGGTGCTTTGGCAGTGTGGGCGGAGCCAAGTCCTGCTGGAAAATGAAGTCAGCATCCCCATAAAACCTGGTCTGTGGAAGGAAGCATGAAGTGCTCCAAAATCCCTGGTAGACGGCTGCGGTGACCCTGGACTTAATGAAGCACAGTGGGCCAACACCAGCAGATGACATGGCTCCCCAAATCAACACCGACTGTGGAAACTTCACACTGGACTTCAAGCATCTTGCAGTGTGTGCCTCTCCATTCTTCCTCCATACTCGGGTCCTTGTGCCTCTCCATTCTTCCTCCGTACTCGGGGTCCTTGTGCCTCTCCATTCTTCCTCCATACTCGGGGTCCTTGGCCTCTCCATTCTTCCTCCGTACTCGGGTCCTTGTGCCTCTCCATTCTTCCTCCGTACTCGGGTCCTTGGGCCTCTCCGTTCTTCCTCCATACTCGGGGTCCTTGTGCCTCTCCATTCTTCCTCCATACTCGGGGTCCTTGTGCCTCTACATTCTTCCTCCATACTCAGGGCCCTTGTGCCTCTCCATTCTTCCTCCATACTCGGGGTCCTTGTGCCTCTCCATTCTTCCTCCATACTCTGGGTCCTTGGGCCTCTCCATTCTTCCTCCATACTCGGGGTCCTTGTGCCTCTCCATTCTTCCTCCATACTCGGGGTCCTTGTGCCTCTCTATTCTTCCTCCATACTCGGGGTCCTTGTGCCTCTCCATTCTTCCTCCATACTCGGGGTCCTTGTGCCTCTCCATTCTTCCTCCATACTCGGGGTCCTTGGGCCTCTCCATTCTTCCTCCATACTCGGGGTCCTTGTGCCTCTCCGTTCTTCCTCCATACTCGGGGTCCTTGTGCCTCTCCATTCTTCCTCCATACTCAGGGCCCTTGTGCCTCTCCATTCTTCCTCCATACTCGGGTCCTTGGGCCTCTCCATTCTTTCTCCATACTCGGGGATCCTTGTGCCTCTCCATTCTTCCTCCATACTCGGGGTCCTTGTGCCTCTCCATTCTTCCTCCATACTCGGGGTCCTTGTGCCTCTCCATTCTTCCTCCATACTCGGGGATCCTTGGGCCTCTCCATTCTTCCTCCATACTCGGGTCCTTGGGCCTCTCCATTCTTCCTCCATACTCGGGGTCCTTTGGCCTCTCCATTCTTCCTCCATACTCGGGGTCCTGGGCCTCTCCATTCTTCCTCCATACTCGGGGTCCTTGGCCTCTCCATTCTTCCTCCATACTCGGGGTCCTTGGCCTCTCCATTCTTCCTCCATACTCAGGGTCCTTGGGCCTCTCCATTCTTCCTCCATACTCGGGTCCTTGGGCCTCTCCATTCTTCCTCCATACTCGGGGTCCTTGGGCCTCTCCATTCTTCCTCCATACTCAGGGTCCTTGGTTTCCAAATGAGATGCAAAAGTTGCTCTCATCAGAAAAGAGGACTTTTGACCACTGAGCACCAGACCAGGTCTGTTTTTTCTTTAGCCCAGCTAAGACGCTTCTGATGTTGTTTGTTGTTCAGGAGCGGCTTGACAAGAGGAATACGACATTTGAAGCCCATGTCCAGGATCCGTCTGTGTGTGGTGGCTCTTGATGCACTGACTCCAGCCTCAGTCCACTCCTTGTGAAAGTCCCCAACACTTTTGAATGGCCTTTTCCTGACAATCCTCTCCAGGCTGCGGTCATCCCTGCTGCTTGTGCACCTTTTTCTTCCACACTTTTCCCTTCCACATAACTTTCTATTAATGTGCTTTGATACGGCACTTTGGGAACATCCAACTTCTTCTGCAATTCCCTTTTGAGGCTTTCCCTCCTTATGGAGGGTGTCAGTGATGGTGTCAGGTCAGCAGTCTTTCCCATGATTGTGATTCCTACTGAACCCAACTGAGAGACCATTTAAAGGCTCAGGAACCCTTTGCAGTGTGTTATGGCTGAATGAGCTGATTAGAGTGGGACACTTTGAGCCGAGATTATTCCACCTTTTCACAATATTCTCATTTTCTGAGATTGTGGATTTGGGGTTTTCATGAGCTGTAAGCCATAATCATCACAATGATGACAAATCACAGCTTGAACTATCTTGCTTTGCATGGAATGAGTCTATCTCATATATTAGTGTCACCTTTTAAGTTGCTGCACTGAAATAAATCAACTTTTTCACCAGATTCTCATTGTTTGAGTTTCACCTGTATATATATTATATTTAAATACATAGGTGGTCCATATAGTGAACTCGGTGGAGTTATTTCCTTTAAGGTCATCACAGAGGACAAGGGGGCGCTCTTTATATCTGGAGGAAAAGAGATTTAATCTCCAAACACGGAAAGGTTTCTTCACAGTAAGAGCTGTGAGAATGTGGAATAGACTCCCTCCAGAGTTGGGTGTGGCCAGCTCAGTGGATTGCTGTAGGAAAGTCCTGGATTCTTTCTTGGATACACAGAATATAACTGGATAGAACATTTATAGGGAAAGGTGATCCAGGGAATATCCGATTGCCTCTCGGGGGATCAGGAAGGAATGTTTCCCCTGCAGGAGCAGATTGGATCGTGTGCTTTGCTGGGATTTTTTTCTGGATCACCTGTGGGTGTAGGATTATAACTTTTTTTTTTTTAATGGTTGAACTGGATGGACTTTTGTCTTTTTTCAGCCAGACTAACTATGGAACTATAACCTACTTTCTGTGCTTTTGGATGCAGAAACAAAACCCACTGAAACACATGTAGTATGAACTGGCCCAGTCTAGTGTATTTTTAACTAAAAACCTGTGCTTGATAAAACTTTGTGCAAATATTGCGTCTGGACATAAAAAACACAACCGCCATTTTTATTCTCCAGGGCGTCTGCTTTCAGAAAATATATAATGTTTGGGGGTTTTCACAAAGGCCTAAAATAATTTTTTTTAAAACATGCAATAAAACACAAAAAAAACGCCTCTTGCAGTGAAAGGGTTAAAGGTGCTGGACCAACCCCCCCCTTGGGTCCAGTCCGGACCAGCCCTCCCCCCCCGACATTGAGGCCGGATTGGCATTTTCCAATATTTTCTCTTTGCGTGGTATTGGTCGGCGACACAACTGAAAAGTTGTCGGGATCATCTGTTGCAGATAGAGTTCCAGTTAGTTATCCCCACTTCCAGTCCGGACACTTTCCCCCCCTTCCAGTCCGGGACACTTTCCCCCCCTCCAGTCCGCCAGTCCTTCAGTACCGGACACTTTCCCCCCCCTTCCAGTCCGGACACTTTCACCCCCTTCCAGTCCGGACACTTTTCCCCCCCCTTCCAGTCCGGACACTTTTCCCCCTCTTCCCTTTCCTGACACTTTCCGGAACATGGTGGGTACCACTTTCACCCCCCTTCCAGTACCGGACACTTTCCCCTCCTTTCCAGTCCGGACACTTTCACCCCCTTCCAGTCCGGACACTTTCACCCCCTTCCAGTCCGGAACACTTTCCCCCCTTCCAGTCCGGACACTTTCACCCCCCTTCCAGTCCGGACACTTTCCCCCCCTTTCCAGTTCCGGACACTTCCCCCCCACTTCCAATAGTCCGGCACTCTTTTCCCCCCCTTCCAGTCCGGACACTTTCCCCCCCTTCCAGTCCGGACACTTTCCCCCCCCCTTCCAGTCCGGACACTTTCCCCCCTTTCCAGTCCGGACACTTTCCCCGTTTCTTCCCTTCCAGGGTCCGGACACTTTCCCCCCCTTCCAGTCCGGACACTTTCCCCCCCCCTTCCAGTCCGGACACTTTCCCCCCCTTCCAGTCCGGACACTTTCCCCCCCCCTTCCAGTCCGGACACTCCCCCCCCCCCTTCCAGTCCGGACACTTTCCCCCCCCTTCCAGTCCGGACACTTTCCCCCCTTCCAGTCCGGACACACTTTCCCCCCCTTCCAGTCCGGACACTTTCACCCCCTTCCAGTCTGGGACACTTTCCCCCCCCTTCCAGTCCGGACACTTTCCCCCCCTTCCAGTCCGGACACTTTCCCCTCTTCCAGTCCGGACACTTTCCCCGCCTTGCAGTCCGGACACTTTCACCCCCTTCCAGTCCGGACACTTTCCCCCCCTTCCAGTCCGGACACTTTCTCCACCCCTTCCAGTCCGGACACTTTCTCCAACCCCTTCCAGTCCGGACACTTTCCCCCCTATCCAGTCCGGACACTTTCCCCTCCTTCCAGCCGGACACTTTCCCCCCTTCCAAATCCGGGACACTTCCCCCCCTTCCAGTCCAGGCCAATTTTCAGCTTTCAGCGCTATCACAACTCTGAAAAATGACAAGCATCTCTTCTCCTCTAGGACCCGCCTTCTAGCTATACGTAGAGTGCGACTCGTTCAACTGACTTGGGATCTGCATCACTTCTCCTTGCCACGTAAACTGCCAAACTTTCCAAACATTTCTCAACTACCACAGTTCAACTTCCTTATAAACTCGCCGCACAACAACTACATCTGTAACAACGCAATTACTACTTGGCCAAAATGCTACTCTACAGTTATCTAGGATACTTAGTGTAAGACAACCAACGAGCGCGCGAGCGAAACAAATTAGTTTATAACCAAAAATAATTTTTAAAAACCAGTTTTATTTATTAAATTTTATTTTCTTATTTTATTATTAATGTGTATCTTAATTTTTACTATTTACATACTGTCAGCCCTAGCAGTGTAGGTGACACCATAGTTGAACTTGTACTACTTGTGGGGGGTGGGTGAAAATTGAGATTTTTTTTTGTTTGGGTTTTCTACACTGATTGCTTTTTCTTCCTCCCATAAGGGCTGTACAAGAGGCAATCATTTCTCCTTCTCTCTGGATCGTCTGGCTTGACATGTCCTGCAGCCTTTGAGAAATACTGTGTGAAGCTGTGATTGGGTCACAGCTTTTGTCACAGGTACAAAGGTGTTGTGAATGGGCCCCCCACCCTGTACCCTGTGATCATTCACAGATTTCACACGTTGTAAACAATGATGTCAGAAATGACTCTTGTTACTACCTGCAGTGATCACTGATTGGCCAATCGTATCACAGACGGGACCTGCACAGAGGTCCCGAACGACGATCGGTGTTCCCCTGTGCCCGGAACACACGGGCCCGGGGTCGCACCCCAAGCAGGGGGGGAGGCCATTTTTTAAACACCCACCCGACCCTGCAGTGCCACCGCCCCGACCGTTTATAACTGGGCCGGGCGGGGGGTGGTTAAAAATAGAAACAGAGAAAAGTAGGCAAGAAAAAAGGGTCCTTAAATCTGCTCGTTTTTTTTTTTTTTTTTTTTTGGGGGGGGGGGGGGGGGGGGGGGATTTTTAAATTTTTTTTTGTGGGGTTGTATTTTTTTTTTTTTTTTTTCTTTCCTGTTTTTTTTTTTGTATGTATCAAAGCAAGTTTATGAAAAAGGGAAAAGGGAAATAAATGGGACGGTAATAAAGCGGTCATTCCTCGGCTGTCGGGGGAGGGGGAATGGAACACTTATTTTGAGGA